TTGGTACGTAGGAGGACGTCTGTCTGTAGGGGCGGCACCCAGCCTCACGGTTGACAGCTCAACGGCCCGTTCTGGCCGGCTTAGACAGGAGAAGCTCGGACTTTTCCGGAGAGCAGGAAACGCCTTTGTTTTTCAGAAAGCACTCATTAGTCTTGATAGCCTCTTGCAGGGCAGCCTCTACGGTGCCATCACTACCTCCTCTATGACAAATGGTGATATTATCGACATAAATTGTACGACCAACACATGGAATTTCAGAAAGCTGCCTCGTGAGACCAGCCATGAGAATGTCGAAAAGTAAGGGTGATCCCTGCAAGATGCCCCTGCTTCCCAGCCCTTGCACATCCAATTCTATATCTCCAACTTTAAGTATGGCTTTTCAATCACTCAGAATTATCTGACAAACGCATAAAATGAGGAACCTTGGTTCAGACTAGAGATCACATCCAAAATAAAAACATGATGAACATTGCGCTTTTCTTGGATCCAAGCCTAGGATCGCCCTGGTTTCTTTGGTATATTTATCTAAAATTTGAGTCTTAATGATTTTCATAGCATTCTGGGTAGAGAGGCCTGGCCTAAAGCCAATTAAGTAATGGGGAAAAAGATCATTGTGTTTTATATAATCCGCCATTCGGTTCTGAATAACGTGTTCTGCCACCTTTCCCACACATGACGTGAGAAAGACGGGATACAGATTATCCAAACTTGGTGCTTTACCAGGCTTGGGAATCAGGATCACCTTGGCCAATTTCCTTTGCCCTGGGATATTACCTCCCTCCCAAATCCTATTAATCTCACCAGTAGGAAATTCAATAGAGTCTTCTTCCAAGATCCGAACTCGGTGCCAATCGACCAATGAGTTCGTGCGAGGCACGTCGCACATCGCTGATGGCGAAGGGTTCATCCACATGGGGACAAGGTGTTCCCGAATACCCCGGATAGGCTTGCATGTTGGAATCGACTACTTGCGGTAGATACTGTACTTACTCACATAATTTGCGAGCTTTCTTTCGCGCAAATTACGCAGGGATTTCGTGAACGCATACGACATAATGCGCAATAGACCTAACGCGTGCAGTATATTGACTAAAAATAATAAATTGATGCACGAACGAAGTACACTTGTTAACTTAACAGAATTAGCACGTACTTTAAGCAGTCAGATGCGGTCACACGCAGTCTAGTCAGAATCACTGATCGAGAAGTCAAGATTGAGAATCATCCTTGCGGTCGCTGTGACGAGCCTCCCAAAGTGTATCGTCCTCGGTTCCGTCGAGCCCGTTCGATTGCCCCATTTTCTTGAAGCTCTTTTCGACAAAGCTGGGAAAAACTAGGTCCCACGACACGGCGATACCAAAAGACACAAGCGCTTGCATATAATTGAAAAGGCCTTCTTCAATGGCAGAAAACTTGTATCAGCTCGCGCCCACTCTACTTTCTCCTGTACCGATCGGGCCGATCATTACATGCTGAAGTTGACGTTGAAGTTCCAGTTTTTTCAGCAAACTTCACAACAGCTAGCTTGAATTTAACCATATATATATAATTACCGTAGGCCATCGCAAGAGAAGAGTAAAAACGCAGTGGATGGATGGCGAAACCCAAACTCCAGAAATCAACCAGGCGTGCGTTGCAGCGCAGACGCAGAGAACGAGGGGCACAGTTGGCGCAACAGGCGCTCGAACGCCTCTGATGCAGAAAGTTGTCCGTGACGTGATGCGAGCATACATTCTCATGGTAGAGATCATAGAGATAGAGGGAGGGAAGCGAACACTCGAACAGTTCCGACGGGTAGGGTCACAGAACAGCTATATGTAGGGTGTTTTAGAGACTCTAGTTTGGGGAAAGTCCCCGGGCGGAAGTGCTTCGGAGTCGCAGCACGTGTGATTGCGTTCGCCTGATAGGTGACGCACGCGTCCGTTCAAAGCATCCAAAGGTCCGAAGTTTCTTCGTAAATATGCGAGTAAATTTGTTTTCATAAAGCAGGCAAAATATTAGGGGTGTGCAAATTATGCGAGTAAATACGGTAGTTCTCAGCGAGCTGCCCCAATAACTACACTCCCGACAAGGATTTTCAGCAGGATTGAGTATTCTAGCGAGGACCCCCTCTCTGATTAGATTTTGTGCCCAACTTGTCAAGCAGGTGTTTTAAAAGATTCCATTTACCTCTGGTTCACATTTGTCCATCGACTGAGTTACAAATTTCATCTTACCACTTCCTCGACAAATTTTGGCAATGGTCCTCAATTTAGCTTCGCAATATTTTTCCGAAGCTTACGATTAAGCCTTTCCATCTTGCCGAGAGCGGCTGCTTTGCCTCCAGTAATTGCGCAAGACGACTGTACATTTTTTCAGTCTGTACCTCTGTCTCAATCGTCTTGGTAACTGCCCTAACATCCTGCAGCAGCATCTCCGGAAAGTTATACTCTCCCTGTTTTACTCTGGCCCTGTGTAACTCCCAAAACTTATCCCAGTCCACGTAAGTAAACATTCTATTAGATTTCGCCTCCATCAGTAATTTAGTAACTTTATGTAATCAATATGTAGTATATTTGAAGGTTTTCCCAACTGACTGAGCCAGCATTTTACATGAAGACTAGGTCTGGGGTGGAGTGCCCAGTGGTGGATGTGTCGCGTCTATAAGGAAACGTCAGATAAGTTCTTAACAAGAAACCCGCATCTCCCATTTCCTGCCACAAGCTCCTACCCTTAACAGAACCATATGGGTAGTTCCCCGAACCAGGAAAGGCACTTTAAATTTCTCCGCCACAACCAGAAGGGAGAGCCCAGAAAACCTGGCTGCCTTAGCTATGATACAGTCGAGCCCACATATAACGGCCTCACTTGAAACGAATTTTCACTTAAAGCGAACAATATCCGCGTGACCGTCAAAATATACATTAGTTCAATGGCACAAAATCGCACTTACAACGAACGTCTCCGAGCGCCGCTGATCGGTTACAGCGAACGAAGTCAGCGGTCTGCCGACTTCCCGGGAAACCAATTTCGACTACCGATCGGGCATCGGCTAGGTGCCCATACATTCTTATTGTTAAACGCCGATTCTGCCTACGCGCCCCTCTAGTTGCTGCTCTCCCCGACCGCTTTTTGTTACGCACCCCTCCGTCCTTTGTCCCCCCGCTACTCTGAGCACCCCGCATCGCCAGACGAGGCCCGTGTTTTCACACTGCCACCGATCTTTCGAAGACCAGTCGGCCACATACCTTGTTTTTGATCGCTGGTACTGTCGTTGGCGTCACCGACCTGGAGTGACCAGACCATTTGCCAACATTGTCGGCCACCGACTGTATTGTATCTGATAGTCTGCATCTAGTGCACGCTCGTACGCTACCCCACCGACTCTGATAATTTGCGATTCGTTTGGCGTTTAGGACTTGTTCTCGCTAACTTCGTACTCAGCTCAACATGCCTTCCGCACACGTGGGGAAGCACAAAAACGGGTGTTAACTTGCGCAAAACGAATCGCGAAATATCGAAGTTCATGAGGCCCCGCAAACCCGCCAGTGCAACAACACGATTTTTTGATGACGGCTGCGGATTCTTCAAAACCCGCCGCGCGCACCGAACGAGGCGGCCATGCTTTGACTTCTGTGTGCGCTGGCACTCTTTCCAAGTTTTTCTACGTAAGAGTTTCGCAGACCTTTCAAGCAAGCTACCCAACCTGCCTCCTTCCCGTGTGTTTTGGTTTTCAAGGTCGCCCTCCCGCCGCATCCTCCCCTCTCCTTATTGCACAAAGGAAGAAATCTTTCATTCCTCCGTGCTTTATTGCAACTCCTTGCCCTTCTCTCGCAAGTCTGCTCTCCTCTCTTGATCACAACTCCTTCACCCGTCTCCCCCGCTCCGCGACGCCCGCTACGCTGGCTCGAATTAGTTTCATTTTCTGACTGGAAATGCGCCCAGAGCTGTTCCACGCGTGTACGCCTCTTGCTCGCTCTTGGTGTACGTGTGTGGTCATGATGGCCGACGGGAGGACTAGCACACGTTTTCGTGCCGCTCAACAAAACGTTGAAAGTGTGACCATTTGGCTTGAGCGTAATCGGCGTGTTAGGTGACGCGTTGCGGAGCACTTGCTCATAGCTGTTGACCACCTGGCAGCCAACTTGCCGCTTCGGGCGTCCCGGTATTCAGTTGTGGAGGTGGTGAATATTTCGTGGGCGGCGGTGATGGCTACATGTGCGCGAAACTATTTTCGCAACGCCGACTTCGTCGATAATCGGGCCCGATGCCGAGTCTGAAGCTTCTGAACAGGACCACTGCGGCAGAGATTGGTGGCAGCGCGTCGTCGGCTTCGACCTGGGAGAGTGGGTGGGACATCTGTTGCGATGATTTAATTATGGCGGATTATGGCACCGACACTACCGCACCTCGTGACCTTGAGCACCTTTTTTTTCCTTCGAATGCGCAGCTTTTTCAGTGTGATCGCGCGCGCACACGTGGACAAGTAGCGGCCTCCCGCAGCTGTCTTAGTAACTTGATTTTTCGGTCACAGATGCACAGACGACTTTTCACTCACAACCAACGGGGCCGGCAATGGCGGTGGGTTTTCTAGGACACGCACTCTTTAACGCCATCATGTTAAAAACCAATGCTTGGCGCACACAAGCATGCGTGAGAAGTCAATGAGTTTCTCCAGCCAATAGGGCAATAATTTCTTTTGGTGAATCCTTCAATTAATTTGCTGCCCTTTCAAATATTTGTACTTTTATAAGTTTGAATGAATGGTTGGCAACTGGAACAGGGTGACTACCACTAACGTACTAGTTCCAAAGCTTTCTTGCACTTAGCACATTTCATTATGAGACATTATTCAAGCAGACACTTGTTAGTGAATGGCAGCATGAGTAATAACATTAAAGGTGCTGTGCTGGCTTAGATATCCTCATTAGTCTATCTAAGGCTAACTTATAAGCAAAATTTGAATTTTAAAAACTGAACCAAGGCAAAGTTGTGCACACAGCCCAAGTCTAGCGTGGTACCTGAGTGTGTCCATAGGCAGGAGGCTGTGTGCCAGCTGTAGCTTGCACATTGAGCAGCAGGAATGGGTGTGCCTCATGATCCAGAGGGCGCTCCACACGGATGCTGCCAAGGTGGGCATCAATCGAGAAGTATCCCTCCGGGTCACCCGAGTAAATGGAGTAGCGAACCCTGGGCTGCTGACCCCCTGCAATGTATGTCCACACACAAGAGCCTTGAAGTTCCTTTGTAAACAAGAGAAATGCTATTGCAGAACTGCATTTATACCAGCTGATATTGCCACATGGTCGCGACATTGAAGTGGGTTCAAGACCAAACTTTTCATTTCAACGAACCTGTGCAAGAGCAATGGAAGGTCCAACTACAAGCGATACACACTGTGGACTGAGAACGGTGAACAGAGCATCAGCCATGAATAATCTGTCAAGCAGTGAAGCGCATCGATACTTATACTTGCGCCATTAAATCTTCCAGCATTATCACGAGCAGCCACGTAAGTTCCAGAACAATCTTCAATGTTCCCATTATGTACATAACCTTATCGGCAGGTTCTAAGATTATCTAGACAATTCCCAGTCATTCGGACGAGCTTTGCGTGAGGCAACAGTTACTTTGATAGGTAACTAGTGTTTACCTATTAAACAACCTACATATTAAAAAAAATTTGAACATTTACTTAATATTTATTGTACGGAAAAGCCCTTCAAGGTGAAAGTTAAAAAAATGCTACTGCAAATGAAGATACGGTTTGATGGATTATAAAAAAATACTGATGTAAGCAATTGTAATAGGCCAGCGATGAAATTTTCTACTAAATGAGTTGTGCTAACTAATAAATTATTATGCATATCACATGTCTATATTGCTCTAGACTAATCTTTTTTACGGAGTGATTATTTATTATGTTATACACCAGCTATGTACAGTATATATGAAGCCAGATGAAATGTAATACAAAATTTTGTATGCGATCTACTTTCTCTATTGCTTCATGATAGTCTGGATGCCAAGAACGCTGAATTTTTTTTTGTTGTTGTCGTGTGCTTTCTTTTTTTCAATCAAGGTTGATTATTGTACAAATATGTGTGCTGTACAAACTGAGTACAAGGGTGTTCGGTCCTCTGTCGGGCTATATGCCTTTAGCCTAAACATTCTTTTGTTTCTTGGACAAGAAAATAATAAAACAATTTTTTTCAAATTGAGAATTGAAATTGTGTAATGGGGCGGTAAAGTGAAAATAGAAAGAAAGGAGCATGTGGGGCAATGTCATGTACATAATAACTGTTTTTGGGCGACTTAGTTCATAGCACAGTGAAGAAGCAGTGGCATGAACACAAACCCAGAAGAGAGTGTGTCGTCTCCTGTGGGTGTTAGCACAGTTACTTCCTCACTCTGAAATATCACTGAAACTTTCACACTTCTTTAGCACACACAAGCATTACACACAAGCATTACACACAAGCACCACTGATGAGACATGCAATTATGATAGAAAGCTTAGGAAAACACCAATAACACGGCCGCTGGATAAAAACAAGGTGCGGCCTGTTGCCTCGCCATCAATGGGCGAGCGCGACTGGGCATAGTTGACAGTTTCGACCGCTTTTTGGGGACGGCGCTGACACTACACCCATCAAAGCGGATGACACTGTTTCAATGTGGTTGCCTGAGGATTTGTGCATGTCCATGTGCTTTTTCGTGTACTTTTAAGTGCTTTTTTTTTGTGTGTGCGATCGTGTGTGGGGTGCGTGGTGGGGGGTAGCTTGCCTCATGTTTCCTGTGATCGAGTATGTGTCGAGATCACAACTCAGGTTTCGTGCAATGCCTGTAGTTGTCCGCCGCCGCCGCTGGTGTCCGTAACCACATCGCGTGAAATAAGGAGCTTTTAGCTTTTACGAATACTTCTTCACATTACCGTGTTACCAGATACCGAATAGAATCTGCGCATACGCCGATCGTTCCGAATTGCAAACCTTTACATAACAAAAGCTACCCGCCGGGCAGGCTTTACGCTTGCCGCCCCATCTCAGAAATCCACTTTCGTTCGTAGGAAATCGCGATATCCACGGTGCGGAGACTCCAGCCATCGGGTCAAAATAAGCCGAAGTGCGAGCGTCAATACCGATGACATTGTTTGGGTCAAATTACTGAAGCTAGAATCAGCTCGAATCAGCTAGAATGACCTAGAACATCAAAATCGTGAATGTGTGAGCCCCCAGTGGCTGGATAGGTGGCGCCATCTAGCAGTGTCACAATAAACCAGAAAATCACAAAATTGTTATTAGAGAAACATCATGCATTGTGCACCTGGCATAAAAACCGCGCGGCGGCGTTTTTAAGATGAGTTACCGTTTTAATCATTTCCAGCTTAAAAACAATAGGCGTAAGCCAACGTGTTCTTTACTGTGGTTGCATGAAGTGTCGCAAGATCTCGACAACATCGTGGCAGTAACCTTGTATTTCTTCACTTTTTTGCATATACAAGGATACTGTACACGATAACGAAACATCTTGTGACTTGCCGAAGAGGCGATTCAATCCTATCTAAATATGGCTTAAATGTAGTTAGAATCACCATTTATGGTGTGCAAAAACGTAGAGGCTTACGTTTGTGTACGTACGTAAACGTTTACGTATGGGGAGCTAAAAAGGTAAAAAAACATGCGCTCTGGTAAGACGGTAAATGCAAACGGGCATACGACAACACCTTAACGTAAAGAAATATACATACAAGCTAAAAGCCCCTACTAGCAAAAAAAATCTAGTACCAATGACACAGTGGGGCTCAAACCTGGTGGGTGCCAGCCCAGCATTCTACTAATGAGCTATGCTGGTGCTTGGGACTCATTGGCAGGCTTGATGTTGTAAAAGTAATTGCATTATTATGAGTAACAAAGCGTTTTAGAACAGCAAACGAACAACTAGGCGGTACACAATGCGAATAATATAACGAGTGAATCCTCCGATGCCCTAACCCACTACAAAAGCTTGTTCTTGAACACCTATTAACTATGGCGCATACCCATAATTCCTCATCGTCGTCAGCCATTGCGTGAACAATTGGCACAATATTCCTCGCAATAGTGTAGCGGATACCAAGCTTCTCAGAAGAATGACGAAGGATAGCATAGCGAATGCCGGCCTACTACCCTAAAACTTTTATTATTAATGCCGTAGTGTATACCCAGTAAGTGTGCATGCAGGAGTTACTCAATGAGTGTTTAGGAAGATCTCTGAAAGGCTGCTCTTCTAGCTTTTGCTATGACTGTGCTGCACCTTCCGCAGACCTGCCATTTTTTTTAATCTTGGGATATAATATCCAGTAGCTTGGAATTATGTTGCATGAACCTGAGTCATTTTCAGACAGTCCATTACAATTCATGCCTTAAGGGAATGATTGCTCGGATTTCACATAGCAAGACCACAAACACTATATGATTATGAGGGACACCACAATCTGGGAATTTCGACCACCTCAGGTTTCAACAAGCAGCTAAGTCGAAGTTTACAAACCTCTACAATTTTTCCTTTATTAAAATGTGGCCACTGCAGACGAAATTCCATATTGTGTGGGAATCGAGGCTAGCCCGCCCTCTTTGCGCAAGCTTTGCCACTTTTTTCTGCCATTCCGATGTCCCGACATGACTCTCCTCCTCCGCTGTCTGCTGCGCTGGGAGAGCGAAGAGTGACGTTTTAACCCATTCACCCGGTAGCGGATGTCGACTGTGGCAACTTGCGCGGAGTCTCCCAGGGCGTTTCACACGCGTGCGTCGGGAGTGAGTTGGATCTCTTCAAGACAACTTAAAGTGAGCACGCATATTTTTTCCGTCCGTCGACTTCTAATGTTTGGGGCTCGTCGGACTTTGCCAACGGCACTTAGCGCCTGCAGTGAACGCTCACCTTTTGTTGCCCTTTTCGAACGCTAGGCCGAAGAACGGTGCAGTGTCCTAGTGCATGGCCAGGCTACGCCGATACGTATCTCTCCAAAGCCGATACGAGCGCCTTTGCCCTCGCTCAGCAACCGAGCCTTTGTTCCAGTGTCTCCGTGAACCACTTTTACCACGGAGACGTGCTCGCGACACTCCTGTGAAGTACTTCTCGCCCGTGGCATGGATAAGCCCATTTGCTTTCCCGCCGCACCTTTGCAACAGGCTCTGTACTGCGTTTTGGTGTTGCCGCAGACAATAAAGTGTTGAGACCTTCAGCAGCACCGTGTTCTCACCACGGCGATGGTTAACGCGTGCCCTGTGGCTCACTAAAACCGGACCCACGCTAGTGGCCGTAATCCTTCGGGATACGTGCACACTACCAGTGTATCTCACAAAATTACCTAGATGAAGATCTGGCACTAATGATTTGCTGGATGTAAGGGAATCCTGAGATATGTGAGCCTCGAACATGACTCAAAACTGTATACCTCGAAAACGCATATGGTTTCGCGTTAAAATGGTTGATTTCTTTTTCTAAGAACACGTAATAGGTTATTTATTTTTGTCATTGCAAAAAATGTGTTTTATTTAAAGAGGGGCATGGCTTGTAGAGGCCGAAAAATTGTGAAGAAACTCTATTTCTTTTATTGCAATTTTGAGATCTACAGCTACTGATGCACTTATACCGTGAATTTCATGCCTATGATATCAGTATTTTAGCCACTAAGACCCTTTATACAGCCTTTACTAGCTAAATCTGAGCCAAAATCAACATTGGTGTCGCACATTTTCTACGACGCACCCCTGCCTTTCTATGAGTGCCAGAGCTGCCATCTTGGTCTCATTTGAGAGAGCCGTCTTTTGCTTTCAAGTTCCCGCCAGAACGGGCCCGATTCAGCCACTAGCAGCTTGGAAAATGTGCGGGGAAAATAGGTATCAGAGCGCCCTCCTATTCACTACTTGGTGCACGTGACTTGAGTTTTCCTCCCTATTGGTGGAGTCTGTTCGCTATCGTCTGCTGCGCACATTAACGCATGCCATTTTTCCTCAGTGTCAGCCATGAAGATTTTCCTGAAGTCAAATCCTGAGCGAAAATTCCGCATGCGGCAAAAATTTGGAGCGATAAAGGTGCGACAGACGCTAGTCACGAATTTCAAGAAGCGCACCATGATACCACAAAACCCCCGAGACCCTACACTCTCCGCGTCCCATGGCAATGATGTCGATGCTACCATGGAAAGCCAAACACCCACATTAG